AGAAATATGAGGGTTAAAGTATGCAAACAGGATAACTAGAAGCTCAGTCTGAGAAGACTCGTAAAAGATGTAGAAAAAAGTATGCAACAGGTTGAATAGGTATCTCAAAACAAGAAGGCAGGGGAGAACTGGAGAAAATATCCATGTAGTAGGAATATTTGGTGAAGGGAATACCTACGATGTATCAATGTCTCCGTACTGGAGACAAGACTGACAGTTCTGTCTAATTACAGCACAGCCCCTTTACAGCTTGAGAGGGAACAAAATGTTCCCAGGTCTCACTTAGTGCAACCTTAGAGTCAGCAAACATCTTCCCAGATATACCCAAATATACCCTTTTCCCAGAGATGAATAATAACTTACCACTGCTATCAACTTCTTGCCTTACAAGAAAAATGAAAATATACCTCAGTGTTCCAAGCAGAGGTGGGTGAAACTACCTATTTTTTCCCTGTGGTTGTGGTGAAGGAAATATCTTCAGAAGAGCAGAGCTGGGACCTAAACAAAAGACTTCTATATCTGAGTTCAGTAAAGATATTACTTATATATGAAGCTTTTCATATATGATGTGAGGCCTTTCTTCAAGTACTATTCATATCCTTTGAATGGCAAATTGACTATCCAAATGAATACGTCATTTCACTGTGATTTTTCACTTACCTACAAAATGGGCGTGATAGCATCCATCCACCTCAGGAATATGCTGGGATAAAAAATTAACTAATGTGTGTGAACAGACACATATTTGAGTGCAATAGAGAGATTGCAAAAGGAAAATTATTATGTATTCAGAATGGGTTGGAACAGTGGGGAGTAAAGAAGGCATGAGAGTATACAGTGCTCATCAGCAGACAACCAAAATTCAATGGCCACTTATTCAGTTGAGTAAGCCAAAGTAGAAACCATGAGAAAAAATACCATTCAGTATGTCATTAAACATATTAGCTTTTATGCACAAAGAAGGCAAAGGAAGATTCCAGAGCATAGTTAGTATTTCTGGCCTCAGCAAGGAGCAATCAAATGACTTGATAATATTTGAAAATGTGAAAATAATGTAGCAGAAACTACAAAGTATTTTTTAAAATGGAGGATCTATATATTTATGTCATTTTTCCTGTGATTCCTGCTGTGAACAAAGCAAAGTTTGAGATATTGCCAACTCCTCTATGCTATAAAATATTATTATGTCAGTGGGGAGGTGCATCTTGGCAACATCTGACACTAGACAGATGTTAAATTAAATGCAGTTAGGTTATGTCCATACTACACTGATAAAAACCCTGGACCTTTGGTACCTCTGACAAAATTCTATTCTTCAAAATGGCGGCAGAAAGGAAGTTACAATTTAAATGAAGCATAACTTCAAATCTGTAGACAGTCGTAATGTCTTCTTCCCTTTACTAAATGCTCTAAACAATTTGATTTCCTAAACAGAGGACATTCTTTACAGATGGATATTACAGAATTAACCCTGGAGGTTGCAGTTCATTTTCAACTGCAAATGCTTATCAATAATATAAAGTCAGGACCCAAACCTTGTCTTTGTGACATCAGTGAACCAAAAGTAAATACAGCAAAGTTAGTGAAACTACACTAGCATGATGGTCTAACCCAGTGTTTATGAAAGTCAGCCAAAGCTGATTAGAGATTTGAGAGGCCTTCAAACTGCCACCGTTGTGTGACAGAGATATCTGTATTTCCTTAAAATTCTCCGAACAGAGGTAATGAATTTACCTGAAATTTATCTCCAGGCAATTTCAGATTATGAGCTAAAGAATGCATTTTTCTTGATGCACTTACAAATAATAAATACATAATTTTATTTTCCTCTACAAAAAAAAGATTGTTAAAATACAAACCCATCTCCTCTAAAGTTTAACACATCTTTTTATTATGTCACTACTGATCCTCTTGACACAGCAGTGATACACTTCATATTAGGAGAAATACTTGAAATACTCAGTATTATTACAGCACATCGGAGACACAGTGTAAAATATCCTATATTGACACTGTAAAAAGTAGAAAGCATGATGTCATGATGCACCTTTATAGGTAGGGTGCAGCTTCTTTTGAGAAGACTGGTTTCCTTTATGGTGGTTTAGAGGAAAATTAAGTTCCGTCGCAGGATTTCCCAAGATCTGCAGCTGGTAAAATATCACACCTCACCCCTCCCAGTTATGTTAACATGGTAAGAACATCTGTAAATATTCAAGTAGTAGGATTCAACCATGTCTTTCTCTTTTTCAATTTTTTTAATATATTTTAGAAATATTTTGCATTTATAAGTGAGAGCATTCATCAATGGAATTGACCATCCCAGAATGCAGAACCTTTTTCACCTAAAATTTCATTGTCTAAATGGTATTAAATATTTTAATTATAGATTCTACCTTTTCTGCTCAAATCCAGTTTGTTTCTCCAGGCTACATTCAAGATCAATTGCAAAACTGAAATAGAAAATTCTTATATAAAATATACAATGTAAATTTGAAATAATTAAATTTCGCAAACAAAAATTTGTGTAGGAAAGGACCTAAAATTCCAAGTTAAGATTTCATAGGGTGTATTACCCTTTCAAGTTTCAGTGAGGATCAAAGTTTTCACCTATTTGTCCTGTGATTTCATCTGTTCTCCCAAATCAATGTTAAGGAAATCTTCTATCAGATAGATCTAAATTCACACATATAACTCAGCCCACTGAAGCCAACAGGGATGAGAACAGAAATGTTCTCCTCTTTAAAAAATAAATTGAAACAATATCCTAAAAAAATCATAATTAAAGCATTAAGGCATTGATTTTCCCACTTGACTTGCATGATGCTTAGTAGGGTGAAAATAATTGATTTACAGTAATATCTGTTTAGCATGGCAATATTCTGCTTAGGCACTCCACAGTTGATTCTACCATTTTAGTAGGATGTAAAATAACACATTATAATAATAATGAAGGGTTCCAGAACTTAAAGTACCTGAATTTGTAACTGGTTCTATGTATTCAGTTTTATTTAATCTTTATGTGCATACAGGTCTTGCCTAAAATAGCACAGAAGTTCATTCTCATGAGCAGCCAGCACACCAGCTAAGGAATTCATCTCCTCCAGAGGGCTGGAATAGAGCAGATGTTTCAAAATCATGTTTCTCTCTGCTTGTGTGCTACAATCACAGTCACAAACAGCAGGCCTCTCTGCAGCCCCAAGGGAGGCCAAAATGCAATGTCTGCACGAGGCTGCCCAGCAGAGGAGTAGAAAAAGAAGCAGCGCACCGGCTCCATTGGATGCATCAAGCACATGCTCCCTCAGCTCCTGGGCTACATTTGCAAACAGAAAATGAGATTTCTCTGCACTAGCTCACTCTGTACTCATCACCCTGAGCTCAACTGAGAACCAACAGGCAAAACCATGCACCACCAGAGATTAGTGAATTACTGCATAGAAGCAACTTCTCAGTGAGTTATTTAATGAGATGGAGGATAGGGAAGGATTTTGTCCAGAGTGACAACTGGAGACAAGAACCAGTTGCTATAAGATAAGAGGACTAAAAAATGTTTGAACTGTGAAGAGTGAAAGGAAGGAGAAGTAGAAAGATATAAAGGCAAGAAATATACAACCCAGGGCAAGATGAGATTTGCCAACAATTCTTTTTTTTTTAATTGACAGTTGATCAAGCAGACCGTTTTCAGCTTCAGTCTGAATAAGCTCGCATTTCCTAAAAACATTGTTTCCTTTTTCCCAGCTATATCAATAGATGGAATGGAAAATACTATGTGTTTTTACTTACCTTGTATTTATTGTCTGTGTCTTTGGAGTCTCAAGATTGCAACAATCAAGAGCAACACAGATGAAGACAAAATCAGCAAGGTGATTACTATACGAAAGCAGGGAGGCATGAATTGGACAGCTGTTTCCATAGAGAAGAGAGAGAAGAGTAGAGAAGTAAGAAGAGAAAAGTCAAGCAATTCTACATGAAGCAATTCTATTTACAGAAGTCAGAAAAAAACACAGATCTGAGATCCAGCCTTCTGAAAGCGGTTTACTCCTTTAAGCAGGTAGTTTCATTTCCCTTTCAATGTCCAGGTTACATAGTTTCCATCTTGTTTTATTCAAGAGCTTGTATTGCCAACTTTCAGAGCAGAAGTGTGTGACATGTCCCTTCTTGAGCTGTAAAATGTGCCTGTTGTTATAGGAAAAGGTTCAAATCAATAGTAGACAGTATTTGATTGAAACAAAGCTTTTCATTCCAGCTTTTACTCCTTCATGATGTAAGTTCAGGAGAGATTCTTGAATATATAATGAACTCCAGTTGGTCTTGCACTATAAATCTTTGGCAAGCTGCAAGGGGCAGAGTTGCTGTTCAATTAATTTACATTTTCCAGAGTTCAAGTTCATTGTTCCTTCAAATCTTAAAAATTTAATATTTTAAGGAACCTTTTAAAGATGTGCATATATCAGGATTTCTCCAAAACACATGAAAAAGAAAAGAAAATGGCTATTGGCCAATAAAAATGAGTCAGTGATCCATGTGTTTCCTATATGCAGACTACAAATGGTTTTCAGATCCTGTCATATTGCATCCTCACATGATTGCTTGTTTTATGATAATTATTAGAATTAATTAGTATTAATACTCCAACCCTTCACCTGGACCACAAGCCATTAAGCAGTTTATCAGCTACCAAAAAGCTCAGAGCTATTGCCATATTGGTAGGGTTCCCAAAAAGAACAGGCTCAGCAGCACTAAACACTGAAATCACCTGTGTTGTTTTATTTGTTAGGCACACTTAGTAAACTGTTTTTAAAATTAACTTTTGAAGCTCTAAAAAAGGAGGGGTTAAAATTATCCTGTAGACCTATTGGGCTACCAGCCTTTCAAAACATGAGTCCCTTGGAAATGCCTCTTGACTTTATACAGAAGCAGTGGCAGACAATTGCTTTTAAGACCTGGCTAGAGAAGTAGATACCTCTACTTGTTTTCAATCTGTTTTTTAAGTACCCACACAGAATATAGGTGACAGAGTTCCATTTCACCTTGGCCAAGAACTAGTCAAACTCATGTCCTCTACCTCCAGAATGAGTTCTAGTCACCCAGCTGTCCTTAAAAGGTGAGGAGAGGGATGATCATCATCCTGGCAGAAGTATGTTCCTTCCATTTTCCATAAATGAAATCAGGATTCGGGGGTAGAAAACAGATACGTAACTCCAGCATAATGGCTGGGGAGAAAAGATAGCAATTTCATGTCACATGAATCCTCATTTCTGAGTAGACTTTTCCCTTGGCAGTGAAAAACCCCTGTAAGAAGGGCAGAGTCAACTAATTTTCCTCATGACCAGCATCTCAACTTTTCTTAAATGTCCTCAGGGTTGCTCAGGATCTTGTGCCCCAAAATAGAGGACACCAACCATGTCCACAGGATTTGCACCCCTTTAGGGATCCTGATCTAAGTCCTTTGCTGTGCTACTCCCTGAGCATTTAGACTCATAGGATAAATGAGGTATCCTGAGGTATATTTGCAACACCAAACATGCAGTCATCAGCTGTTGCATCTTCAGCAGTCTTACCCCTCACCACTTGCAATGGAGCAGAAGCAGCCGATCTGATCCATAACAGTTTGATTTGGAAAGATGGCTAAGAGATGAATGTCATCAGACCAGGCTTCTCTCCTACCCCTCATTTTGCCCATTCCTGCCCTTTTGTAAACCCCATTGCCACGAACATAAGCAATTTATTTTCCTAGTCTCCTTTCTCCCACCCTTGCCCCCTCGGACGCGCTGGGACGGACCTGCCCACGCCACTGTTGTGCGGGGCCGGAGCCGCCCCTGTGCGCCCACGAGAGGGCTGGGACGGGCTCTGGGGGTCGGCACAGCCCCAGCACCGAGCCCAGGAGCCAGGCCCGTTTCTGCCGGCCCCGCTGGGTTGCCGAGGGCACTCGGTCCCGCTGGTGCAAGGGACGCTCCGGGCGGGCTGGCTCACGGTGCCCGCGGGCTGCGCGCGTCAGGGGAGCCACCCGTCACGGCCGTGCGATCCCGGCATATATAGGGGATGCGGGGGCACCGCCGGCCGATCGCAGCCGCTCCGTGCCGGGCACGGCCTCCGCAGCGCCATGGCCCTGGCCCGGTCGGCGGGGCGAGCAGGTGAGCGGGCGGGCAGGGGGGGCACACCCCGACATTCCGTACCCCGCCATTCCGCGCCCTGACATTCCATATCCCGACATTCCACACCCCGACATTCCATACCCCGACGTTCCGCGCCCCGACGCCGCCGCCCTCTCCGCAGGTGCGGCTGCGGCGCTGGCGCTGCTGTGGCTGCTGGTCTGCGCTCCGGGGGACGCCGGCTGTCACCCCCTGACCGTGGCCGATCTCTTCGACCGGGTGATCCGGCACTCGGGCAGGATCCACAGCCTCTCCACGGCGCTCTACGCCGAGCTGGTGGGTGCCGGGCCGGCCCCGCCGCGGAGCGGGGCTTGCGCCGCCCTGCGAGCGGATAGGGGAAAAGGCGGGGGCATGTAGGGGGGTGGCGGTGCCTCTCGGTGCACGTCTAGGTGTTCTTCCCCCGTAGGAAAAACACTTCCCTCCCCGTGACAACGAGCTGGGAAGGCCCGCTCGGAAGTGCCACACGTCGGGGATGCTGACCCCCAACGGCAAAGAGTACGCCCAAAAAATCCCGGTAAGGGAACGGCGGCGCCGGCGGACAGAGACAGGGCAGAACGGGGAACCGCCAGGCATGGGGACGGGAAGGGGACCCTGCGGGTCACACCGCCTACTTTCTCCCCTCCCTGGAGAAAGGGGAATACACCTCCTGTCCTGTCAGAACCCCAAAGTGTCTCGTTCATCATGCTGTAATGGTCCCCCACTCCAGTCGGGCTGGAGATAGGCAGAGAGGTTTTTATGCTTCCGCAGCTTCATCAACAATCTGGATGAAAGAGGCTGCTAAGTTTTGACCCCAAACAGGTGCACACCACAGAGGTATTGCATATGAATCTTAAATTAGTTGAATTTTAAATCTGTAAATTGAATCTGTAAATATGATACCTAAAATTTGATCATAAATACTAGTTATAATAACTAGTATAATAACTAGTATCTCCTACTATTGCAGTAGTACTTTGTCAGAATGATTGACAGACAAACTTTAATTTTTTTGAGACAGACTCTGTGGAACAGAAACTTAGAAACTTGTGTATGTGGCAAAGAAGTTACATTCATCAGTATAACTGCAAAGTACAAAAAGCAATCAGGAGAAGGAAATAACAGTAATCTCTGAATCAGTAGTTAGGTAAGGGGAAAAGAACAGCAAATTTGTTTACATCACATTGTGATGGCAAAGAGAAAAAAAATCATTATTAGCTTAGAGAAGAGTAGGAAGAGTTTGTTCATATGGAGAAAAAGCAAATTGTGATGCTGGGGATAGACCAGTCTGTCTCCTCTAGGAGACAGACAAAGACAAATGCTAACATTTTGGGTTTTGGTTGTGATGGAGTGAGGAGTTTCCCCCAGGATGTCCTTCTAGAAGGTCCCCTGGAAGGGCAAAGAAGGCCCTGCTCGTGTTAGCTGAAAACATGACAAATACAACTTCTAGGTGTTATTATTTATATATATACAAATAACCAGAGATAGAGTGGTGTTTTAGTAGTAAATTGCAGATGTAAATCTTGACCCCACTGAGATTTCATAATGAGACTAAGAGTATTCGTATGATCTGCTGCAAAGTAACAGACACGTTCTCTACTGTTTCAATTTATGAGAGAGAAGAACTAACTCACGTGATACTGAAACTTTTGCAAGCCTGGAAAGAACCACTGTCCCACTTTAACCAGCATATTGAGCACCATCAAGAGCTACCTGATGACAGCCTTAGCAAAGCTAAGCAAATCAGCAATATGGTACATGAGCTGAAGACTGGAGTCGAGAAAGTAACAGAAAAGGCAAGATTTTCGATGTAGCTTTTATTTACATCGGTTATGTGGCATGGGTGACTTCGAAGAGGAGGCAATGTCTGCTCCTACTTGGGCTTGGAGGCTCTTAGCAAAATGCAGGACTTTGTTAAAGATACTTTAACCAAGATGCTTTAAAGTTAAAGATACTTTAACAAAGTATCTTTCCATCAGAGAATGTGGCTAAGCTATAGATTGGCAGATATGAAGATGGTATTATAGGAGTCCATATCTGTGAGGAAACATTTTATTAATATGACATGTATGAACAACACGCACAAGTACAAAGGCTAGAGCCTTTTGTATCTTCATATATGAGTAAGGACTTGAGTTTTCTAGGCCAGAAGAGAAGATGTGGGTAGACCATAACAAATGCTGAATAATTGTGTTAAGTTTTATTTGTATTTAAATTCTAAGCAATTCAAGTATCACTGCTGTCTGATGCAAAGAGCTCCTTCCTAAGGCAATAATTTTATGCTGGGGTAAGTTCTTCAAGACAACAGTGGCATCACTTGAGTCTGATGTCAGTCACAAAATAATTTCAAAACTCCATTTCATATTATGCAAGATTATACATAAATCATTGGATGAAATTCTTTGTTATTTCCATTTCTGTCTTCTCATTACTTGCTAAACTCCTGACCTTTGCATTTTTGTGCATTTATATCTAAAATTAACTTTGGTTTTGGCAAATGAAATCTGTGTGCCTATTCTCTAAAATGGCTACACTGCTGGAGTGTGTGTTTCACTAAAAAAAAGTGATTAATAAACTAGTATCTTACACTAGTAGATCGCCTTTCAACTCTAGGTGGGGAATACTAGTTTCAAAAGGGTAAGCAGCTCATCACTAGAATAGGCCAAATAGTACCCTACTACAAAATGCAGCCCTGGTTAGAGTGACTTGGAGTTACAAATGCAGCCATGGTTCTGGGCTAAAATAGCCTTAAAGTTCAGAAGTGTTCAACCTCAAAGCTTGACCTTTGCTTCTTTCTGTAGCTGAAGCAAACTCTAAACTAGCTACACATTTTTGATGTATTTACATGCTTTATTTTTTCTAAAGCACCTTTGAAGCCAGTACTAAGAGGGAAATTTCTACAGTATTGATTTCTCTGTACCATGGATATTTATACGTAGGGTAGAAATATAATTACAAAAATTAATGCATTCCATATTTTGCAGCTATGTCTTTCTGTTTAAAATTAGGAAAATTCTAAACTTGCTTTTGTTCTGAAGCACCCACTCAGAGAGGTGATCACAGTCTGTAGAATTCACCAGGTTAAATGAACAGCACTGGTGGATGCTCATGTTAGGAGCCTCCCTTCACAAAAAGCATAAAAATAAATAGCTAAAAAATCTCAAGACTGATTTGCTATAATACTTCAAGAGGAAATGACTACCAAACAGGGGTTCCTCTACCTAAACTCAGATGAAGTACTCATTACTAGTGTATCAAGAAATTTCAGTCTAGTTTAAAAGTTGCAGAGATACCATAAGGATAAATAGACAATGTTATTCTATGTAAGGATCTTTACATATATCTTCAGTAAGTATGTGAAAGATCTGAATAGCAGAGCCCAGTGGAGTGGCACCTCAGTTGTCTTCTGCAGTAGTATTTTCAATATTTGTTCTGTGTGTAGTTACAAGTTGAACTTCTTTTCCTGTTTTCAATACAGATGCAGTCAATGGGGATCATCAGCAATTCATTAAATGGAATGGCATCATCTGAAGACACTGGTTTATCAATTAGTAATGAAGCAAACATGATGAGTGACTCTGATTTCATTCACTGTTTTAGGAGAGATTCCAATAAAGTACAAAGCTACTTAAAAATTCTCAAATGTAGGATTATGCCAGAAAATAGTTGCTAAATTGTACTCCTTTGACAAGTAGTCTTCAGCATGTTGCTTATAAAGATTAAAAAAAAATAGAACTTCTAAATTATCACTTTAACAGTAATTTTAATAGGAAAGTGTTTTTAAAATCCTTTGGAAGCTGGCACAGTTGACCAATGCAGATGAAATACTAAAGCCTCGTGTGTGTATGTCAGTTAATGCACCAATAAAAAGGAGTGTTCTAGCATTAGATAAATAAATATTCTTGCATGTTACACTGTGGCAGACAATACTATGGCTGATTCACAGTTTAGATAAATACATAGAATTACAGAATGGCTTGAGTTGAAAGGGACCTTCGTGATCATCGAGTTCCAACCCCCACTCTGCCACTGGCAGGGATGCCATCCACTAGATCAGGTTGGTGAGGGCCCCACTCAAGCTGGTCCTGAACTCTTCCAGATATAAGCCATCCACAGCTTCTCTGGGCAATGTATTCCAGTGCCTCACCATGCCTTTGAATAAAGAACTTCTTCCTGACATCTAATCTAAATCTCTCCTATTTTAATTTAAAACCATTCCCCCTTATCCTATCACTCTTACCTATGTAAAAGTTGCTCTCCCTCTTTTTTATGAGCAATCTTTAAGTCATGTATGGCTGCAATGAGATTTCCCTGGTGCCTTCTCTTCTATAAGCTAAACAATGCCAAATCTCAGACTGTCTTCATGAGGTTCTTGTTGGCCCACTTGTTAAGCTTGTCCAGGTTCCCCTGGATGACATTCCCTCCTTCTATTGTGTCAGCTGCATTGCTCAGCTTTGTATCTGCAAACTTGCTGAGGATGCACTCCATGCCACCCTCTGTGTCCTTAAGGAAAATACTGAAGAGCACCAGTCCCAAGACAGAACCTTGAGGGACACCAGGTGTCACTGGCCTCCCCCTGGACATAAGAACCACTGCTCACAATGCCCTGGATGCATCCAACCAGCCAATTTCTTAACCACCAAATAGTCCAACCTTCAAACCCATGTCTCTCCAATTTGGAGATAAGGGTGTCAAGTGGGACCCTGTGGAAAGCCTTACTGAAGCTGAAACATAGGTACAACATAGTTGAAAATAAGATTCAATCTGTTAAACTGTGGTACATCTGTGTACTATCAATAAAGTATATTTTTCCCTAAAGAAAATGTTTTCCCCCATTTCTACATACATACCTACCTGCAGAATATTGCTTAACACTGAAGAGGGGCATTGATGTTGATCAGCTCATTTAACTGCAGGGCCTATGCCAGATTTTACATTCACATCATACTTCTTACTGATTTCTGAGGGCTTTCATGTGTGTCCCATAAAATCTAGAATTTTTATTCATTTTGAATGCCCTTTTATATCTGTAATGGCTTCACTGATTTCAGTAGAAACTCCTGAAGAAAAACTTTGTGAAAAATAAGTCAGAATTCTGTTCCAAATAGCATTTCAGTCTAAGGGCTGAGCAGAGAGTAGCAATAAGTCTCTTTCCCATTCCACATGCTGACACAGGTCTTGGGTTTTACAGTAATGATTACAAACTCCATTGCAAATAAAAATATGAAAGCTCTCAGATATTTTAAGGAAATCACATTTTCCTAGCAGCAGGGTGGTGCTGCTGGCTGTGCATAAAATAAAATTTCTTTGCATTCAGAGCCTGAGACAGTTGAACAAGTAGATATAATCAACATGGATTTATTTTTAATATTCTTGACTTTTTTACCACTAAATGCTCTTTTCTGGCCTTCCATGATCTTGATGGTTGCTGACAGTAGCAAGAGCTCAGGCAAGCAAGAACAAGGAGTAAAATGCTGATGATTATTTAATAATGATACTAAATTTGGGCTTGAGAAACCTAGCAGAGAAAGATGTCAAAGAAGCATTTATGCAGACCAAAGAAACAACATTTTAGTTACGTGCCCATAACTGCAAATATCCTCAGATATCTCCTGTCAGGTAGATGGCAGCTGTACTTGTGAGTGTTCACAATTCATGTCTGGTCCCTGCTGTGCCAGGTGTAGCAGACAAGCAATGGGCTACATTGTGCTTGCCCTGAAGAAGTTATAGCTGCAGTTCCTTATGCAGTGAGATACCACAAACACAAAATGAAATAGCAGCATTCACGGGTAGATTCTGAGGAAATTCTGGAAACAAAACGCAGCTCCAAAGAGAGCAAAGGAAGGCTCCTCTGAGCGAACAGACAGAACCAGAGGGGGATGCCCACAGTGCCTGCATCTAGCTGTGATCCCAGAAGATGCAGCGGCAATTAATAGCCGCAGCATTCATGCGGCCATCTGGTGTAGCCTCGGTGGCGGGGTCCAGCATCCCTCGGGCGGTGTGTGCCTCCCGTGCCAGCGAGGGGTCACTGCGGGCTCCCAAACGCCGCAGCGGGGCCACCGCGCCCTCCCTGCGGAGACAGGCGTGCCGGGGTAGCGCCGCCGGGTCCCGGCACACACACGGCAGCCGCCCTGCCACGGAGGCGAGGGGCACAGACACGGCGGGGCTGACGGCACGGAGCTCCCTCCGGACCGGCTGCGGCCCGCCCCGCTCCCCGGCACCGCGCACGGGGCGGGCAGGGCGGGAGGTGGCCGTGCCCCCCGGTCCTGCTTGGTGCAAGTAATGGCAAGCGAATTGCACGGTGACTCAGACATCAGCCGTACCCGCAGCTGGCAGGACGTCCCAAGGGTGCAGCTGAGGGTCAGAGGAAAACCTCGCAAACGGAGCGGGTCATACAAAATCTCTCACCTCCGCCGAAGTGCTGAACCCTGGGAACGTTTTACTGTACAGAAATGTGAAAACAGAGAAAATGAGATAGTGGGTGGCACACGAGGAACAGTGCACCGAAGTGTTATCCACAGTCATTCTTCCTCATTAGTGTTATATTTCAGTTTTGCCTTTGGCTGAAGCGAGGCACGTTGGTAAAACAAAAGCCTCCCTATATTGCTGGCATTGCTTTGCTTCCTCTTGTGATCGAGGAAACAACTGAGCAGTGGGCTGAAAAGGGCATCCTTTTCTCTGTGGCCACCGATGCCTAAAGCAGAAATACAGCGATGGTTGCTTTCTCCACAGGGGAATACTTCATCTCCTGCCTGATTTCCTCCAAGACAGCAGCATAACTGGTTAGGAGATTTTGATTGTGTTAAATCTTGTGCTATATCAAAAGCTTTGGAGTTTGAGAATCCATCATGTTTATATCCAAATATTAATTTAGGAGAAACAATTCTGTAAATTAATGGAGAATCAGAAAATCAGGATTGGCTTCCAGTTAAGCACTGGCATCATGTGCAACAAAATAGGTAAGTAATGGTATCATTTCCATTTGTGAAACAATTTGTTTCCATTAAACTTTCTTGCCAACCAAATAAATTTAAGACTTAAAACATCTCCATTGTTCTTCAGACCTTATTCCATGAAGCACTGGAGGATAATCCCAGAATACTGACATTTTGTATAGTCCAATTTTTTTTTTTCAATTATTAGAACTGGCTTTTGCACATCAGTGATTTCCTCATCATGTTTCTATTTTTCAGAACGATGAAAGATACAACAGAGACATTCCCAGTGACTGAAAATTTATTTTGTTCCTTTCATAATGTACTAAATGGTACTGATCATGTGTCTTAAATTTAGACTGAATCTTGTATGTGCTGATGTTTCCATGGTAGACTAAGTGGCTAATGTCACTCATAGTTTAGCTCTTATCTAAACCCATGATTGCAAAACAGAAACAAATTGAAACAGTCTTCTTTGCACAATACATGTGCATGTTCAGCTACCTTCATTCAAATATTGACCTGTAAATAAAATTACTTGAAAAAACTGAAGAATTCCTCAAGGGTTGAACGCTTATAAAAAGTGGCATTTCTATGTGCTTTAGAAAGCACTGGAAGATCACTATAGAGATGTTATCTTCTGACATCCCTGTCCACCATGCCCAGCTTCAGTACTCAGAATTACAACCAATATAAAACCAAGGAGTTGCCATTCTCCGGCCATGAATTTTGGTGCAAGTCTGCATGGGGGAACTTCAGACCCAGGTTTAACTATCCCAGTTTACCTTACAGTAAAGGTGATCAGCAGTCACCAGGTACATACCTTGGAAGCACACTCACTTTAAGACTTCCTCAGTCCACAAGCATTTCATCCACTGCGAACCTTTCTCTATAGGGGCTTTTTTTTTCTGCAGGTCTCCCTGTGGTTCAAAGCTGAGTCTTAAGTTAATTGGACTCTAATTCCTCTCTGTTCCTTTCTAAAGGCACTGGATTTACAGCTATCATCATGAAATTGGTTTGTCTTTCCTTCTAGTATGTGAAAATCAGTAACAGTCTAGTTGGTAGAGGGTGCTGAAGCATGTGAATGCACTTAATTTATGTCAGTCTTTTGACTGCAGAACATACATTCATCAGAGGAGCTGTGTGGCTACAGTGATGGCAACTGGTATTTAAAACCCAGTACTAGTAAATCACAGCAGATAAAACAAATCTGATGTATTACTGCAGCTCAGGAGTGACATTTGACCTTTGTACTACTGTTCTGACATTGAAGTTAGTAATGCAGTTTTGTGCCTTAAAGCAGCCCTGTTCTCAGCAGATCATAATACTTGATTCCTGTTTGGCAAAGGATCAATAAAAACAAGGTAATTTTCAGAAAATCATTTTACACTGTAAATATATACAACTAAAGTTTAAGTGCTGACACACCTATTAAAAATCCAGTTTCTAACAATGTTATATGAGGTGCATGGAGGAGCTAGCTGGTCTTTCATGTTCACAGGCTCACAGCTATTCACATGCAGTAAAATATGACTGTGACTGTGTCTGATACAGACTGCAAAAATCTGCATTGTGATACATTTTACAAGTCCAAGAGCTTTGAAGGAAATCAGCAGCCTCCTCTTAGGTATCAGGGAAGCTCCTCTCCCTGTCTTTAAGAACACACTTTCAAGATCCACATTCAGACCTGTATGGATGACCATCAATAGGTGGGATGAGAAAAGTCTCTTCTGTTCCTGAGGCTGCTGGGCTGGGCAGTGAGATCTCTGTGTCAGCAGCACAGCCTGAGAGCATGGAAGTTCGCAGCTCGGTTAACAAAGCAAGTACTGAGTCTCAGCCTTTCCTCTCTGTCCTTGTTGTATTCTGTATTACATTAGCATTGATAAGTTGCCAGAACAAACAGAGAGGTGCCCAGTGAGTATAAGTATCTGCTTTGTTTGCAGCCTCTGAAGAGATAAGGTATTTAACTGTGGTTTGCAATTTGCGGTACCTGAACTCTCCCCAGTCCCAGATCTCAATAAATGTCCATCATAATATCCCACAGCTGGTAACTATAGCCTCAAAATGCCACACACAGGAAATACCTCAAGTACCCTACAGCCATGCTGCAAGATCATCCATCAGGTCAAATCTGTGAAGACAAGTAGCACATTGCTGGTTTTAACCTAGGTGTCACTGGTATCTACCATGTCACTCCCTCACACCAGCTGCACCACATCTTTCACCTCTGCACTGTGAATCTTATGAAGCAGTTCAAGTATCTGCTGGGCACTTTGCATACGTGTGCTTTGTTCTTTCTAAAACTAGTAGGCATACCATATTTGAAGAAACCAAATACCACTTGATCCTTCACAAAGAAAAGACTGGCACTGTAAATATATTTTTGTATTTGTACAGGGTGCTATTTCTCATTTACCAAGTTTTCACAGTATGGACTGAAGAGAAACTCCTCCTTTATTTAGCAAAAAATCAGAGGAATAAAAATTTTGTGTTTCATGGGCCTAAATCATAATTTAATCAGACTATTTTAGATATAATTCAAGATTTGGATGTATACTTCAGGGTTTTTTAAAAAGCTTGGTCAGCATTTTCAGACAAAGAATCTTTTATCTGGCATACTGAAACTTCATTCTAGCTGTAAAGTAAGAACACTGATAGGAGGTGTTAAGAGATTTGGAGAACCTTGAAATGGTTTAAGTTTTAACAGGCTACAGTGAAACCAGAATTTGTTGAATTTAAAACACCTTTAATATTCCAATTGTGAAACCAATGCTGCATGAGCCTTGCTTGATCTTTGCCTCAGTGAGACAGCCTTCAGATGTATTCTGTTCAGCACATCAGCTCAGTTTTGACAGTAGTTCATATTTTGTGCTTGCA